TTTTTTTTTTTTTTTTTATTTTACACGCGATAATGAGCGGTAGAGACCTGGTAACTGGTGGCTCGCTGTGCGCTTCCTTCTCATTCGTTTCTGGTTTTGTCGCTCAGGTTCTGCACAGCATCCATGTAGATCAGAACTGACTTTCTGACCTGACTGAGGAAGCTGCGTCCCGAGTTTCTGTGAGGAGCTTTGGCACCACGATGAGTACCGTCAACTCGCAGTAAGCTCCGTGCAGTTCTGTTAGAGCTGCTAGCAAGTCTTTTGTTTGTTTGGAACGAGTTAGAAAGAGCTCGGATCGTTGTTTATGTTTTCCTTCAAGTCCTTAGGGTCATCATAATTGCTTTAATATATATATACACATAGATTACCGGTGCAAAGAGAGAAACTGAATGTTTGTTCACCAGGTCTTTTTAAAGGTAGAAAACATACAAAGGATTCTTTAGTTATTCATTAGATAATTCAGAGATGGCTGCAGCCCTTTACTAGAGTAGGCTGATTGGATAACCAAATCTCTGGTGAGGAGCTATTTGCAATAAAAGTAGTGAAACGTTTTGTTAGTATTACAGGTATAGTATTTTGATAGAGCTTATATCTCCTATGAGTTTAATGACTTTGGACAGCTCAGCTTACTTCAGTACTCTGTTGAAATTCTGAAGTATATTGCTCTCTAACACAAATTTTCCAATCTTTTCAGGGACGATGAAGATACCTTTAAAATACTTATTGCTACTGATATTCATCTTGGCTATTTGGAGAAGGATCCAGTGCGTGGAAGTGATACATTTGTAACTTTTAATGAAATTCTGGACCACGCTCAGAAAAATGAAGTGAGTGCTCCTGCTGCTTTTTGGAGAGTGAAGGAGTGAGACTGGGGAAAATACATTCTAACCTGCCGGAAGCTATAAAGCTTAGTCCTGATACAGTCTTTAGTAATATTAAATGAGGTGACTAAACTATTTATTGCAACCAGATATGTTTATGCTTTACTAAAAGAGATGCCTATTTCTTTGTGAAAGCATTAACAGTGTTTTTAGACTCCCTGCACTAGTTCTAGTGGTATTTAGAGAGGCTTTGTTACTGCAAGGAGGGAAAATAATTGAGGAGAGGAAGGTTGATGATACAAAGTCTTCAGACAACTGAGAAAGTAGCAAAAAAGAATTTAGAACCTTTCAAAGTGTTTGTTTTTAAGGATTAAATGTTTCTTAGTCAAATTATATGTAATTCCAACGATGATTTTATTTTTTTTTTTTACTTTCCTAATGCTTTTTCAAATCTAAATGTATACATAAACTGCAGTTAGTATCTTCTCAAAGTAATGTGGCAGTGGCTACTGATTTCTTCCCGCTAGGTACAATGAAAAGATAATGTATCTTGTCGTGCCTGTCAAAGGAAATGTTCAGGAGCCATACTAGAGACTCTTCTAATAAAGAACACTTCGCTGGGATTTTTTTCAGTGTTGTCAACTGTGTTCTCCTATAGCTCTTGATAAATGAGTCTTTTTGTGTTTTTGTTTTAATTCATAATTTAGTTAATATTTGTTTCATCAGGCAATTAAATATCATGTCAATATCTACCAACTTGTATTATGTGGAGGTCCAGACTTGAGGAGTTATGTGGAGCTCCATACAAGAAATAATTTAAACAATTTGCTTAGAAGCCTTGCAAGGTGATACAAAATGTTGCATTAAAATAATAGAGCTTTTTGTTACATACAGGTGGACTTTGTTTTATTAGGTGGGGACCTTTTCCATGATAACAAACCTTCCAGAAAAACTGTACACACTTGTTTGGAGTCACTAAGAAAATATTGCATGGGTGATCGTCCTGTTCAGTTTGAAATTTTGAGTGATCAGGCAGTTAATTTTCACAAGAGCAAGTAAGTATGTTCTTGTAAATTATGGTGTAAGGTTTGGTTTGCATATTGGCTGAATGGGTTTGTGATTTTTCGGATTTATATCTAGCGTGGCTGGAACCTTGAAGTTTTAGGCCTGTTTGTGTGGGACATTTTACAGGATGACTTCATGTATCATCCTTTCTAATCTCTAAAGGAGTGCAGACAGCTACTTGAGAAACTTCTCAATGAGCTGCCCATGTGTTGCCTGATCTAGTTAAGAGGCGTCCCTGCCCATGACAGGGAGATTGGATTAAAATGATCTCTACGGTCCCTTCCAGCCTAGGCCATTCTATGATTCTATGGACTGTGATATATGATACATTTATGAAATGTGTTTCTATCCTATGAGTAAACCAATTTATATTTTTTTGCTACCCTGTTCCCAGTGGGAAGTGCTACTACAGTCAATGAATAAGAATCTCCTTTCGCTCTGCAGCTTTACCTTATTCGCAGACACTTACTCCTTGTGTTGCTGTCATCATGTCCTTGCAATGATGTTAATTTAAAGAGAGCATTGGGAATTATTCACAAATTTGCAGATATAGTTTAACTTCCTTTTTTTTCTTCTTGTTCAGGTTTCCATGGGTGAATTATCAGGATGGAAATCTTAACATTTCTATCCCAGTTTTTAGTATTCATGGCAATCATGATGATCCCACAGGGGTAATTATTACAGTAATTGTACTATAGTGTTATGTTGCAAAAGTAATACTACTATAGAAATAGAAACTTGTATAGAAATACAGTTCATGGAGAACAGACTGGTTTTAGTCAGTTGTTCTGCTCATCATGTAAATATTTTGTGTATCTTTAGGAATTTTATTAATTAGTGACAAGAAGTTAGGTCTGACCTTAAAAAAAGAGAATGGAAAGAAGTTATGGGATCCATATGAATTATATTTAAATTCTTAGTTTATGTACATTTCCGTCACTGAGAGCAGAATCACTTTTCATGCCAAGCAATGGAAGCCTTTCAGAAAGTTTCTAAAACAAATTCTATCTGTAGAGATTGAAACCTATTTTTGTTCTAAAGATGGGGAGCTTTGATATCTGGACTTGTACATGTGCAATTGATACACATATTAAATTTTCCAGGAGGATAAGCTAATAATGATGGAATGATAGTTTAATAATCAAGAATTAAAGTAAGCAGGAAAAGGATATTCAGAAACCAGCAAAGTGCCTAAGTTGAGTTAATAATTTTGTATTTTATATCAGATAGCAGTGTATTGCCGGTCAGCTCAGTGGTTTGAGCGCGGTGCTGGCAATAAGGATCAACACCGAGGCCGCAGGTTCGATTCCTGCTCAGTCCCCATGTCTTGCCAGGTGTAGTCGAGAGGTGGCGTCCCTGCCCAAAAAACAGGGAGGTTGGACTAGGTGATCTCTAAGGTCCCTTCCAGCCTAGGCCATTCTATGATTGTGGAGATGAGTGTTTTAACAACAGAAGTTTAACTTTTGGACCTGATATGAAACAGTCAGTTTAATCAGATCATTTTCTGTAGTAGTTTAGAAACTTTAACTGCTTAGTTTGGTTGTTGTTGTTTTGTTTTTTTCTTGTTTGTTTCTCTGAATGATTTAATGTTTAATTTCATGTTGTTCAAATGAAGCAAGACTTGTAAGGAAAAGGGGGTTGCCTCTGTACCCCTGAGCACTACAGGAAAGCTAATATGTGTGGCAGGGTTTTTCAGCTGCAGAAGTTACTTAGGGAAGACGTTCTCTCTCCTGTTTAAAACTATTTAACTTAGACTTCAAAGACTAAATGTTCTGTTCGAAGCTTTTGTATTTGTTTCTGAATATTTTCTACAGGCAGATGCGCTGTGTGCCTTGGATATCTTAAGCTGTGCAGGACTGTTGAATCACTTTGGATATTCGACTTCTGTAGAGAAAATAGATATCAATCCCATTTTACTGCGTAAGGGTAGAACACAAATTGCTCTGTATGGCCTGGGTGAGTGTCTGTCTGCCAGACTGTCGCTGGACTGTTGATGTGTTTAAATCAAGTTGACACAAACATACTGTGCTGCAGCAAGCATGAAGATCTAAGTGCTGCTAAATTAAAGTATATAAATTGTGTGACAGTGTCAGGTTTCTCCTCCTGCTGTGTTGTGGCTGGCTGACATATTTTGTTTTTTTCTTTGCTTTTTAAATATATGCTAAAAAAGTCCTCCAATAACTTTATTTCTGTGCTTGAACCTTGCTTAAGTTAGACATGGGTAGTGCCTGTGTATTGAGTCAGGGCAGTCACACTTAAATTCTCACTGTTGTGGATTAAGTTTACTTCCTCTTGTTTAGTTAAAATGTTTTATGTCTGTGTGCCATTCTGTTTATATTTAAAAGCATAAACTGCCTGAGCAGAAACCTAATATCTGACAGGTCTGACTGAAAGGGTTCATAGGTAACATCTGTCACAAGTGACATCAATTTCTTTAAAGAAACTTAGAGCTTCATATTTTAAAGGTGTTCTTGGGTGAGTTTTCAACTTAAAAGTTTTTCAGACTTTTTGAGTTTGTCCCATTCCATATTCTCTTCCTCACTCCTCACACTTCTTACTTGGAGTAGTAATGTTTGACTGCTCTCTATCTAGAGAAGCTAACTATTACGATCTTTTTTTTTTCTCATTTATTTTCTGTTTAGTCGTGAGTGCTTAAACGCTTATTTCCCAGCAACTTTTATAGCTGTAAATTAAGTCCTAGTTGGCCATGATTTCCCATGCTTAATGAGATACTTCAAAAGCTTGCTAGATGCTCTAAGGGTTAGAAGTGATGGACTCTAATACCACAGTAAAAAAAGTTTTTAAAAAGATATTTGAATTTTTAATACACAAAATTGTTGCTAGGGAAATGCAACAGTTTTTTCTAAAGTAGAGGTGTTGCTGCCTGAACATGTTCCTGAAGTGTTTCTTTCATCTTGTGCCAGGATTATATACTCTCTTGATTTTTCTCTGATTTAGAGAGCACTTGTTTGTATACAAAATATGTAAACTCTATGTGGGATTTTATTGTAATGCATTATGAACCCTGGATGTGAATGGTTTGGGTTTGTTTTCTCCCTTATTAAAACTGTCAAGGAAAGAATCGGTGACAGACAGTTCAGAAGTACCACAGACTTTTTTCCCCGCTGCATGAGACAGCACAGACTTTGCAAAATTCATGATTTATTTTTTGTTTTGTAAAGAATTTCAAAGCGGGTTTAAGAACTCCCCCTCGACTCAATAGTGTCTGTTTCTAGACTTCACCTTAAAACATGCTGCTTACTCTGTCAACAAGAAACAAACCACTTTTTCTAATTTTTTTAATAGTCAGTTGTTTGGTACAGGAAACTGGTAAGAGGTCTCAAACCAGATGTAGGTAATGAAACTCATTTTAGCAGTTATTTTAAAGGTAGATTTAAAATGTCTTATTTCCAAAAGTCTGCATAGTTAAATAGTCAATTTATACTTTGATCTGTTCAAATTCATAATCATGCCTCGGACTACTTGGATCATGAAATGGAGATGTGATCTTGCCACAGGTTTTGTTCTTCATGCTCCTTTTAATAGAGTTACTGATAAAAGTGCTGTAAAATAAGAGTTGGTTTAGCACACAGTGATGATTTAATGTCTCTTGTCCACTCTAGGAGCTATTCCAGATGAGAGGTTGTATCGTATGTTTGTCAATAAACAAGTAACCATGCTGAGACCAAAGGAAGATGAAGATAGTTGGTTTAACTTATTTGTGATTCATCAAAATAGGTAACAGTGTTGAAGGAATTACGGTGACTTCTAAACTTAGTGTGTTGCTTCATGGAAGGGCCTTGAAAAGGAGAGATGAGAAAGCCAGCTCTGCCAGTTGGTGCTCCTTGTGGGTAGCTGGTTTCTTAGAATTTTCCCAAATGAAAGCATTGGTTTACAGCTCTTCTTACAGCAGAATTGTAAAGGAAATGAGTTGAAATAAATGACTTGGGAATGGTGGCAAATCTGTTATTGTTAAACTCTTCTAGTCAGGGGCGGTGGAGGGTTTGTAGCACAATATGCATATAATTAAGTCTTTTCTGCTTGTTAGAGCTGAAGGAAATTAAACTGAGTGTTATATTTTCTATCCTTGTTTGAACCATAATTTGACAAGTGCTGTAGCTCCCCTTGGGCTGTGATACTTGACAGCTTCTCTTGAACAGAAGAAAGGGAGCATCTGCTCTGTCTCTCTGCACGCTTCTAGCAGCGGTGGTAGGAACAGGCAGAGTTCTTTTCCGAATCTCTTCTTATTATTCTTTTCTGACGAAGAGCTCAGTCCTCATCTGCAAGTGATGGTGAGGCAGAACTAAAGAAAGTGAGCTCTCATAACCCCCTGCACTGGTCTCTGTCCCATGGGCTGAAGGAACTCACTCTTCCTTCACCCCCTCTCCTTTCTGGAAAGGGGTGACGAGTAGCTTGTCCCATGTCTGTTTTGTTCAGTGGGTTTTACACCACCATTGCAAACCAACCAGCCAAGCCTCCAAAAAAAAAAGCCACCAGGTGCTCACTGATGTAAGAAAAAAAACCCCTAAATTCTTGCAAGCCAGGTAAGAAGGGAGGTTAAAAAAAAAAAAAAGGAGGGGAGCAGGAAAGAATGAGCTGTGTAAATTGCCTCTTTATTTAACCAAACACTTCAAACAATTGTGGAAGGACTAAATGTGATGAGCACCTGATAGGAGATGGAGGTCAGATGTTTTTTGCTGGAGTTTCTGCATCACTTTAAATCACACTCCTTCATTCCCCTCCTTGCCCAGCCGTGACTGTACACATTTTAATTATTTTTCTCTTTTCTCAAACAGGAGCAAACATGGAGCTACTAACTACATTCCCGAGCAGTTTTTAGATGACTTCATTAATCTTGTTGTGTGGGGTCATGAACATGAGTGTAAAATAGCTCCATGCCAAAATGAACAGCAACGTTTCTATGTTTCCCAGCCAGGAAGTTCAGTGGTGACATCTCTGTCCCCCGGAGAAGCTGTGAAGAAGTGTGTGGTCTTTTCTTTGTGTTCTTATTGGCACTTGCCTTACATGTGTTGTGTTGAGAAAGGAGAAATTAGTTGTGTTAAGTATGAAAGGACTTGTCTCGTAACCTGGATTGACTTCAGAGTGTGACGTAAGAAATGTTGTAGATGAAATCAGTGCCCAGAATAACTTTTACTTTACTTGGGATTAAGCTTAACTCCTGAAGCAAGTGAAACTTGCTTAAGAGGAGTTACACTCTGATAAAATTGAATACGAGGAGCTGTGTACGTGTGCTCATGTGTGGAATGAGCACAATCCAAATGTAAGAGAACCGAGGTTTGACAAGGCCAAGCCTAAAGTACAGACCCAAGAACTTCATGTAGCTTTTAAACTTTTTTTTCTCAGAAAACAAACATTAATTTAAACCGTATCTTTATAGCATAGTTCTCTTGTGCTTATCTTCTAGTAAGTTACCTTTCTTCTTCTAGACATATTGGTTTGCTGCACGTTAAAGGGAAGAAAATGAAAATGCAGAAGATTGCTCTCGAGACAGTGCGGACATTCCAAATGGAGGATATTGTTCTAGCTGATCATCCTGATCTTTTTAATCCTGACAATCCTAAAGTAACTCAGGCGATACAAGCGTTCTGCATGGAAAAGGTAACTTGTACTGCTCTCAGCATCAGGATAACGGTGTATGGACAAGGAGTGGGACTGGTTTTCAGACTTGAAGATGAGAGATGTTGTGCCCTGCCCCATCTTACACTTGAGAGGGACGTAGGCAGTGTTTTCGTAGGCAGCTAATTCTGTGACGTTCACTGCAGCCTTGACTTCCAGATTCTTTCCCAGGCATGACCTGTTCTGGAACTGCTCTGTGGGGTCTGAGTCATCTTTGTGCCAAACCTCCCACCTCTGAGTGGGGTGGGGCTGGATGTGCTTTGCCACCAGCATGAACAGGAGCCCCTAAACCCCGAGAGCTGGGGCAGAAGTGGCTGAGCAGGTTTATTCGTTGCTCTTGGGTCTGCCTAAATCTCTTCCTGCTGTACCGTGGAGCTAGAAATTTAGCAAAGGATGATGGCTGTAAAATAAAACAGTGTGAGTGATCAGCAGATACTGCTGGACTGTGCTGTATCTGGAAGGTAAGTTATACTTGAAGGGTTTGGGCATCTGTTAGAGAACAAAGTGGAGCTGAATTTCTAATTCTGCTTCACAGGTGGAGTTGATGCTGGACAATGCAGAAAGAGAACGCTTGGGAAATCCACGCCAGCCAGAGAAGCCTCTCATAAGATTACGAGTAAGAGCTTGTTCAGTTTGGATTGTTGTGTTTTGTTTTGAAAGGTCACTGTGAAAAGTTTCAGAGGAAAGTCATGCTTTTTGTGCAAAAACATAATATAGAAGACTTCTTACTTCGTATGGGCAAATACAAATTTCCTTTGTAGCCCAGTTCTGTTTACCTGTGGTTTAACCAGTATTTGGTTGTAAAGGATGAGACTGGTCACAAGGGGACTTTACTGCTGGGCTGAGTAAGGGCATCAAAAGTGACCACTGACAGAGAAGTTTTTCTGAAGTTATGTTCTTCTGTGTTTGTTCCTAACCCAATTTATGGAAACTTCCCTGAACACTGGTAAATGAAGTTAGGAACTAGTTATGAATCTGGGTAGTTGTTAGCTATTTTGTTGATATTATTAATAACTGCTATCATCCCTTAACTATTTTATATTTTTATAAGTACTATAGTATGGTAAAGCATTAATTTTAAGTTGGCTTTTTACTTAAATTTTTCTTCTGAAGGGTAACAAACTCTATTTGTGTAGCTTCTTTATTTCTGGGTTTTTTTTCATATTTAAATTGGTCCTTTCCTCTCTTAGGTTGACTATGCAGGTGGCTTTGAACCATTCAGTGTCCATCGTTTTAGCCAGAAGTACATCGACAGGGTGGCTAACCCAAAAGACATCATACACTTTTTCAGGCGTCGTGAACAAAAAGGGAAAAATGGTAACTATGAAGGAGGGAATCATTGGCTTGCTTTGCTTTTCATTCTTCTTCCTTTGTTTTGTTACCCAGCACCTGCACAGGTTTGGTGTGTTCCATCTGTTGTGTTATGGAAGGAATAAGGATGCGTAGTCTCATTTAAGTGCACAAGTATTTCTTGCACAAGTATTTCTGTTCTAGTTCTCAGTTCGTCTAAAATTTTGATATTCAGCACAGCATCTTCTGACAGTTATTTGTAAATAATTCTATTTTATTTCACCTCAAACTTTACTGACTTGCTTATAGTAATATATACAGCTCCATAGCAGACTGAGTTTTACTCCATGATTCTATGATAATGACCATGAAACGTGTTAAACATCTCGCTCCTGAGACTTTTCAGAGGGAGGTGGTTGGTTTGGGGCGCTCTGCAAGAAGAGATGTGTCATGCTTTTTCCCTTTGGTTTTCAATTTTATTGCTGTAGTAATTTATTTATACCTAAAATAGCAATGGAGGGGGTGGGCTTGAGAGATATTTGTGGGGATTTTTTTTGTTTGTTTGTTTTAAAAAAAGAAAGGTGTGAAAAATCTGACAGCATTTTGTTTGCTGTCATTAATCATGTGTATGAGGTGCTCTCACCTTGTCTCTTCCAAGTCTGTCTCTATTCAAGCATTTTTATGAAACATAGTGTCTGTTACTATTGTAGCATTTTACACTGTGCCTAGAATTTTTGATAAATGGTTAATAGATGTTGCCCAAATACTGGATTTGTAATAGTTGTTAATGAAGATACAGCTTGCACAAGAACACTCTGTGCTAAAGATCTGCTAATATTTCACATTAGTGCATTGTAAGTACTCTAATTCCATTTGCAGTTTTTATTTACATTGTCAGTTTTATAAAGGTCAAAACATCGTGTTTCATGAATAAAAACTTCATTTAGTGAGTGGGGGGGTTTTATCATGCTGTATTGATTGTGTTACATTTTGCTTAGTTTTTTTTAATCATCATGTAGTCTCATTAACATTTTTGGAGTGGAAGATAGTGACCACGTTTGTCACCATGTTTCATCAAAGTACTTTTTTTTTATTGTTCTTACTTAATGTGCCATCTCTGCTTCAGGAAGAGAATGTAAAAAGAAGGCCATGGTTTTCTGCATTGCTTTATTAGACATCTGTGAATGCAAGGGAGGTGGCTAACAAAGCAGTCAGAATTTTCAGTACGCGTGAACATGATGATGTGGTTCAGCACAGGTGATGTTAAGATTTTCAAGAATTCAGAAGTCGTTTCTTCTGTCATAAAAACTGATAGAAGTTCTGCCTGTGCAGATGTCTGAAAGCAATCTCTAGTCACTTCATATTCCTTTGTGTTGTATGGGGTAGCCTCAGCTGATGATTCCTTTCATGGTTCTGTTTTTCCTACCTCACTGCCTGAGTATTGGGGGCAGCCTTAATGAGCTCTGAACATCTTCTACTGAGAATAAGTCATTCTGCTTTGGAGGAAAATTTCTTCTCTAGTGCCAGAGTTACTTATAAAAAAGACCTCTGTGCTTTGATGGGTCCTTTGATTTTTCTTCCCTTTGTGATCTTCTGGAATTCAATTATGATAACATTCAGGACACAGTATTCAATTTATAATTATAGATGTTTGATACTCTAGAAGAATGCTTTGTATCTGCTGAAAGTGGAGTTGTCTTGTGCAGTTATTGCATCTGTGATGTTTGCTTGTGTTTCCAGACAATAGACTCTACGTATGAAAGGGACCACAATTCGTAAGAGCCCTGCAGTATCTGTTGTCCTATTACTGTCTGTGCGATGATGATGAAAAGCTGCAAATGTAGGTGATGATGCCACTATGCTTTTCTGTTCTAGACAACGATCTTAATTTTGGAAAACTCGTTAGAAGACCTGCTTCTGAGGGGACAACACTGAGGGTGGAAGACCTTGTAAAGCAGTATTTTCAGACGGCAGAGAAGGTAGCTTTCTACCTTTTATGATTTTTTTTTTAAATTAAGTACAATCTTCTTTCTCTTTTTTGCTTCCTTAATCTAAGTAGTGTGCCCTGAAAAGGCTTCGACATCCACAAAGAAGTGAATTTATTTCCTGTATAACTGTGTTGTGAATTCCTGCATGGAGTATATGTCTTAACGGGTAACTGTTGCGTGTAGGTTGTATGAGGTGTGTGAACACAGGCTGGTTTGAGAACGCGATGATAACTCTTCCTCTGAATTGCAGTGTCTGCCCTGTGCTGAATGTGTCGTGTTCTTGCAGAGAGAAAATGTGAGCAGCAGGCTCCGAGTGAGAAACTACCTTAATTTACTATCGGGTGAATGTGAGACTGTAGCATTTACTATTACCAGCTGACTTGGAGTAACTTGTTGCTTTGCAGTATATTTGTGTCCTCAAACGTAGTACAATTCCATGTATTTGAAGCAGAGCAGGTTGAAGGAAGGGAGCCCCCCAGTTTGCTTGTTTTCTTCCCACTCTTTCATTAAACCTGCTTTATTTCCCTTTTCCAAAAAAGGCAGTAATGTCTCAGAGGTAAAAAATAATAATCAGCGAGTCAGACACCCAAGTGCTTGATCTAGATGATCAAGCATAACTTTCAGATGGACTACTTCAGAGCATGTCTTATAGACAATCATTAGAGCAAGTATTCCTGCGGTAAAAATTGCCTAAATTATATCCTCTTGCCTAGAATTAGACATATTAGGTCTCAGTATTGGGATGGCCTAAGTCATGCCCTGGTGACTGGTTGAGAAGTAGCTACTTCTTCGAATGTCTGCCACCCCTATATCCCACGGGGAGGGGTAGCAGGGTCAAAGAATGGACGCTATATTGTTCTATTAAAAAAAAAAAATTTGCTTTTAATCTCTTTTCATCTCTTATTCTGAAACACTGCCCTTCTTAAACCATCTTCCCAAGTAGTTTGTATGCTCTTGCGTAAACAGCTCAGTTACTGGATTTACAGTAACTGTAAAGACTTGTGAGAATCCGTTGATATTCTGGGGAGGCTTGCAGTAGGGGGCTAATATGTTTTAAAGTATTATTGGTAGTGCCAAAAGGAGGGAGGGACAGCATGTTGTGGCCCAAAATAACGACAGGGATATTAAATATTGTGTTAAGGTAGCTTGTGCCTCAGAGTGTGTGGGACACCTAATCTTGTTTGACTAGGGAAACAAAAGAGTCCTTGGACCCTGAGGTGGCACAGGGCTGTAGCTGGATGTTCAAAAACTGTCAGACCAAAGCCATCTAACAAGTTCTAGACTGTTCAGTTTCAGTCTTGCTGGTAAGCAGAGGCCTGGGAATTAAAATCGCTGCTCTTTGTCACTTTACCAAGCTTTTTCTTTACCCCCTTTGGAAGAAAGCTTAATTGCTGAAACATGAACATTCTGCATTTGCCTCATTAGAATCAGTCACTCCTTTGAGGTGCTTGTATTTTCTTTTTTCTTTTTTTTATAATAGCTGTGAAAATTATTCCTCTGCACAGCATTATTTCAGTGAATGTTTTCTCCTTCCAATGCAATGCTCAGAACAGTTCCTGAAGGCCACCTGGAAGGATCAAAAATAATTAATCAGCATATGTCCTGCTTATTACTGAGAACTTATCTGTGCTGTAGTTTACAACAAAAGATGCTGCAATTTAAATATATCTCTCCATGCAGGGGTTTCGCTCTCAATGTCTCTCCTTACTCTATTGGGGAAGGAGGATAGAGAAGAGACTGGCTACAAAACACCCCCAGTAGCAACTACTAT